AAAAATTAGCTAGGCATGGGCCAGGCATGGTGGCTCACCTGTAATCCCAGCACTTTTGGGAGGCCGAGGTGGGTGGATCACCTGAGGTCAGGAGTTTGAGACCAGCCTGACTAACATGGTGAAACCTCATCTCTGCTAAAAATATAAAAAATTAGCCTGGCATGGTGGCACACGCCTGTTGTCCCAGCTACTCGGGAGGCTGAGGCAGGAGAATCTCTTGAACCTGGGAGGCAGAGGTTGCAGTGAGTCGAGATCATGCCATTGCACTCAAGCCTGGGCAACAAGAGTGAAAGTATGTCTAAAAAAAAAAAAAAAATTAGCTAGGTGTGGTTGTGTGCACCTGTGGTCCCAGGTACTTGGGACAATAAGGCAGGAGGATCACCTAAGCCCAGGAGAGCGAGGCTACAGTAAGCTGTGATTGTGCCACTGCACTCCAGCCTGGGTGACAGAGTAAGACTCTGTCTAAAAAACAAAAAAAGCAAAAGCTAAACTCTGTATCTTCCTTGCACCAATTTGCTATGCCTCCTATAGCTCACCTCTCGGTAAATGGGGCTACTCTTTACCAAATTGCCCAAGGAGAAACCCAAGTACTCTTCCAATTTTTTCCACTCTCTGCAGAGAATCAAAAAACTCCTGGCAATCTGTCCTAGAATTGTTTGAAACACATCACTTTCCTCTAGCCCTCCTGCCATTATCCTGGTCTCTACCAACAGTGTCTCTCACTTGACCAGAATTCTCCTCTTCAGATGATACCCTTGACCTTCAGTAATAGCTTCCTAATACCTCTCTCCCTCCCTCCTTTCCTCCCCGCCCCTCTTTCTTTCTCTCTTTTTTTCTTCTGTGAGACAGTCTCACTCTGTCACCCAGGCTGTGGCTCAGTGTAGCCTCAATCTCTGGGGCTTAGGTGATCCTCCTGCCTTATTATCCCAAGTACCTGGGACCACAGGTGCACGGGACCACACTCCCAGGCTCAAGTGATCCTCCTGCCTCAGTCTCCCAAATTCCTAGGATTAGAGAGGCACATGCCACCATGCCCGGCTAATTAAAAAAAAAAAAAAAATTATTTTTTTTTGTAGAGATGGGGACTCCCTATCTTGCCAGGGCCAGTTTTGAACTCTTAGGCTCAAGTGATCCTCCTGCCTGGGCCACCCAAAGTGTTGGGATTACAGACTTGAGCCATTGCACCCACCCTACTCTTAAACTTTTGGAATCTAGTTTCCATCCCATAGTCAGAGGGTCTTTCTAAAATATAAATCTGGTCAGATTATTCCCTTGCTTAAAATTCTTCATTGGCTTTCCATTGCCCTTGGGAAAAAGACTAATCATTACCCTTGATGTTGCTTAGAAAACGCTACATAGTATCTTTGTTCTCTAATTACATAGCTGGCTACTTTCCTCCCTGCTCTCTATCCTCTGCCATTTCACATGCATTTTGCTTTCTTTGCTCTTGCACAGGCTGCTCTCTCTTGCCTGGCTCACTCCTATTCCTTTAGGTCCCCACTCAGCCATCATCACTTTCTCTAGGAAGTTTCAACTTCAGGTCTATGGTAAGCACCTGATTGTGAAGTTCATAAAGCACCCAAATTCCTTTATTCCTCATCTCACACTATGAAATAACAGCTTGTTTAATTATTTTCTTTCCTTTTAAATCACTAGACTGTTGTGTCCCCAGCCCCTAGCACGATTCCTGGAATAGAGTAAGTACTTGATAGTAATATTTTACAGAATGAAAGAACGAGTACTTACCAAACAATTATTTGATATTCTTTCAGTACTTTCTCATTATAGGGCAGACAATGCACGGATCAACCAACTTGAGCATTCTAGGCCACTTAAATTTTATTTTTTCACTGCTGTTAAGAGGACGTAAAAAGTACTACATCTGGTATAATAAAACATATGCATACAGTTTTTTTTTTTTTTTTTTTTGAAACAAAGTCTCACTCTTGTCCCCCAGATTGGAGTGCAATGGCATGATCTCAGCTAAGTTCAACCTCCACCTCCCAGGTTGAAGCCATTTTTCTGCCTCCCAAGGAGCTGGGATTACAGCTGCTGGCCACCACGCCTGGCTAATTTTTGCATTTTTAGTAGAGATAGGGTTTCACCATGTTGGCCAGGCTGGTCTTGAACTCCTGACCTCATAATCTGCCTGCCTCGGCCTCCCAATGTACTGGGATTACAGGCATGAGCCACCACATTTGGCCTTACACAGTTTTTTGACAGGTTGATCTCCTGTCTTTTCCTCAATTCCTAAGAAACACCCATTAGCATTGTTGCTGAAGAAACTATCCTGTCTCCAGTCACCCCGAACTTCTGCTCCCTAGATGTTTATTTCCTACTTGCTATATCCTTTACCAGGAATTCCCTCCCCTCCTGGTTCATGCTCTGCTAGACCTGCAACACTTGGCTCTTTCCCTAGTCCCCACAGTATCCCAGGTACTTATTGTAGTACAATAAAGGAGCTTTCAGTGAGCATTTTCCTAAAAGCCTGTGTCAGTGACTAACATAGAAAGAGATGGCAAGATTTAACTTCTGAATTCCCCGCCCCATCACTTACTAGTTCTGTAACCATATCACCAAAAGTGCAAGTCATTACATCTCTTTAAGACTAATTTTCTTTGCCCGGTGCATTGGTTCGTGCCTGTAGTTTCAACACTTTGGGACACTGAGGTGGGAGGATCACTTGAGTTTAGGAGTTCAAGACCAGCCTGGGCAACATGGCAAAACCCTGTCTCTACAAAAAATGCAAAAATTAGCCAGCATGGGGGCACAACCTGTTTTTGCAGCTACTTGGAAGGCTGAGGTGGGAAAATCACTTCAGCATGGGAGGTAGAGGCTGCAGTGAATTGTGATTGCACCACTGCACTCCAGCCTGGGTGACAGAACGAGACCCTGTCTCAAACACTCCTTTGTCTTTGAATGGGAATGATATCACAAAGAAGAAGAGAGAAGTTTTAGGTTAAGTTTTCCTACTCTCCAAAGCAGAGAAAAACAAGCTGAATACTTAAAATAACTGAAAACTTGAACTCCTTTCTTTATAAATCCCATTTAATAGTCCTCTAATATTCATGGCTGCCAGAATCTAGGCTATTTTTTTTTTTTTTTTTAAGATGAAGTCTTGCTCTGTCACCCAGGCTGGAGTGCAATGGCATGATCTTAGCTCACTGCAACCTGTGCCTCCTGGGTTCAAGTGATTCTTCTGCCTCAACCTCCCAAGTAGCTGGGATTACAGATGCCTGCCACCACACCCTGCAAATTTTTGTATTTTTAGTAGAGACAGGGTTTTAACATGTTGGTCAGGCTTGTCTTGAACTCCTGACTTCAGGTGATCCATCCACCTTGGCCTCCTAAAGTACTGGGATTACAGGCATGAGCCACAGTGCCTGGCCTCTAGGCTACTTTTTATCACACTTTTAATCAAATTTTCACATTACAACAACTCCTAGTTGGCTGAGGATTACTTTATCTGTTCTTTTCCAAGTCACTTCAGAAGTTTCTCCAAATATAGTGTCTGTTTCCGAAATAAAGTACATGGAAAGAGATTCTTCTCCTTGATGGAAAAGGACAAAATACTTTTTTTTTAAGGTTCTCAATGACTCATTGTGATGGGAGGGGAAGAAGAGGCAAAGGAAAAAAGCCAATTTTAGTAAAAGATTTCAAGAAGTTGGTAAGAAAAATATAGGGTGGAAACTTTGTTTTCCTGCTACCAAAAAAAGATACTAGAACAGAATGAGGATCAAAGCAAGAAATATGAGTGAGGCCAGACCATCTGGCAAACTCTTCAAACTCATCTTTCGTACCGTCCCCATTAAATAGCATATTTAAACATGAACCTTTGCTGACTCTGCCAAGAATCTTAAAAATGCCCAAGTTTCTGTAGTAGAACTCACTGAAACCTGGTGAATACTAATATTACCGAAAAGCCCAGCAATATAGGGGAAATTCTCAGACTGGATGTAATGAATAAGAAGGACAATGTTGTTTCTTGCAGATTTCTTTCTTGCCTGCAGTAAATCTTGCCTTGTACTCTAAATCCTTGCTAGACTATATAAACAGAGTTGGAGATTACAGGTCTCAGGCATGCAACTCCTGTAGCTTTGTCATTTCTCCTTTGGCTGGCTTCAGAGAGGAATCAATCCCCCAAGGGCAGAGATGATGAGGGTGTGTGGCACTAGAAGAGCTGATTTTGGGGTGGGAACTTTGACTTCTTGTCTTACTTGGCTCCCACTTTCTATCACCTGTTTTAAAGATGTTTAGTACCTTGAAAGTACATGGAACACACTGGTAGCGTTAACTAGGTGCCCTTATCTACCCTATGTAGATGTGCCCTATCTATGTAAACTGTAACTTAGCTGAGAGAAGGTTTAGCTGAAAGTTTTGGCAAGAAAGGGCACAACCCAGTCTACGGAAAATACAAAGAGCCACACTTGGGGAAAATAGCTTGGCAAATGGCTGCCTTTGGTGAATACCCGGAGTACACTTCTAGAAGGAGATTCAAAGTTCATACACTGACCCTCTCCCCTGGCGTCCCCTCTCCCCCTTACCTCGGATCACGGAAAGTGAAGTAGGGTGGGGGAAGGGAGCAATGGCAACGTTGGACGCTCACGGCAGGGGACAGAGTAACCAAAAAGAGTAGTTCCCGGGGGAGAGAGAGAAGGCCGGTGCAGAGATGAAAGGAAAAGACGGTGGGCGGATGGAGAGGGGAGGGCAAGAAAGTGACAGCAGGGACCGGGCAGGGCTGGAGGAGAGTGGGCGAGAGCCAGAAAAGAGGAGGCTCAGGAGTAAAAGGGTGGAAGGCCAAGAGTAACAGCTCAGGGTGGGATCCGGGACAAGGGAGGGTATGAAGTGAGAGCTGAGCATGGGACAGGGCCGCAGGAACACGAGGTCCGGCCAAAAAGGGGCTGGGCCAAGAAGGTGGTCCCGCCCGAGGATGGTTCAGGGAGTGGACGGAAAAGATTCAAGTCCCGGCTTCTTGGTCCCTTGGCGCCACCCTCACTCGCCTGCAGGATCCGGGCTCGCACTGCCGCCGCCGCCACCACCGCCGCCATGGCTCTCGGCCGCCCTAGCTGCGCACCCCGCGCCTTTACTGCCCAGAAGCACTATAGCTGCCAGGCCTCGCCCTCCATCCTGCCGGGCTTCCTCATTGGTGGGGAGGACTATTTTTTCCAGCCAGTCACGCGAACTAACACCTGATTCCGCCCCTCACACCCTAGTCCTGTGAATAAGTGATTGGTCAGGAGCGAAAAAGCTCTCGCCTTCTTCCACCTCAGCCAATGCTGTTGGCGGAGGTAGAGAAGACGCCCCTGACTTGGACACTCCATACTCTGCACACGGGGAAGACGCCCCCTAACCCGGAACTCCGATTGGCCAAGGGCGCAACCGAGGCCCCGCCCTCTCACCGAGAAAGGTAAATAAGACCCTCTAAGAATTTTGCAGTCGCTCCACCTCAACAGCTGCGTGAGGGGCGTGGCTACATTGGGGGCGTGGCTAGGCAAAGATTGCCCTATGAGGCGAGGGAATGAGACTAGGCTGCGAGTTGGGGATAGGGTTTCTCTTTGGGGGAGTGGCTTATGGATCCTCGTTTTCCCGCCGACGGTTGGCCACGTCACGTGACATGGGTTGGAAGATGGCGTCTCCCACAGACGGTAAGAGCCGGCTTCTAGATCTTTGCCTGCAGCCTCATTTGCTCTACCGGCAACGTCTACTCTGTCTCTGCCCCTCGAACATACATTTCTTTCTTGGGCTCTTCTCCTTTCCCTTTTACTTTTTTTCTTGAGATCCATCGCCGTCTTCAGCTCACTGGTTCTTCACAGCAGTTCCGGAGGTACCCAGTTTCCCTGCTCTGTACCAGGCGTGTGGAGGAGGGCACTAGGGAGGGACTCACTTTGGGTAAAAGGACAGGGGGTTGCCCTGGTCCTTCCTTATCTCTATTTGGGTGAGGCTGAGGGCCTCGGAGGAGATGATACTGGAGGAAAGGACGTGCCTTACAGTAGTCTCCTCCTTGGAGTATCACACTGAAGGATCAGTTTTCTTCTGATTGAGCGCACGGATGGAACGATTCTCACAAACTCTAGCAGTGGCTGCTGGCTGACCTCATCTCGATACTGAACCGCAAGAGAAACATGATCTCTTTCCTGTCTCTTCAGTTTGGGACCACTGCCGTGGCAGCAAGATAAGCGGGGGACGTTCTCGGCCCCTCACCGCGAGAGTCGCGAGGAGAATGAGTATTGAGCTTTTAAGTGTTGTCTTGCACAGGTCGCAACCTCTTTTGCATCTGCTTTTTGTGTTGTTTCTTCAGGCTGAGTGAATGAACAATTTCTGTTTGTGTATTGTAAAATGCAAGTCATTTCAAGTAACAATTAGGTTGTCTTGGTATATTCCTATGCTTTTGCGCTCGGTTCTGCTTTAGAGAGTTAGGGTCTTGCAGTCATTTTTAAACTCATTTTTGTTTCTGCCGTTCCCATCCCAACTATATATATCGATTCCATTGATATATAGGTTTCCCTCCCTTAGACAAACACATTTCGTATTTGGAAGGAATCTTGAAAGTTCGTTACAGGAATGAGGAAATTGAAGCCAAGGTGAGCTGTATTAAGTACCTGCTACATGAAATGCATAATGCTAGGTGCTTTGAGAGACCAAAAGATGACTCAAACATATAAACATTTTTTTTTTTTTTCCAGTTTCAGATCTCTTTTTAGATGTCACCTCCCAAAGGGTCTCTTAGAACACAGCATCCGGAGTCACTCTTCCCCACCATTATTCATTATCTCAGTATCTTCCTTGTCAGCATAGTAATTCTGTAATTTTGCCCCTTTCACGCTAGATTATAAATTTCAAGTTTGTCTTGCTTATAGTTGGATCCCAGGGTTTAGCACAGTGCCTGGCAAACAGTAGGTCTTTAATTAGCATTTATTGAAAGACTGATTAGATATATGCAGAAATAATTATTACTTGATCTTAGTTTTAAGTTCAGCCGAGTCTTAAAGTTTTTGAGCACAGGTACATACTGTATTAGAAATTATGGCTGGGTGTGGTGGCTCATGCCTGTAATCCCAGGACTTTGGGAGGCTGAGGTGGGCAGATTGCCTGAGCTCAGGAGTTCAAGACCACCTAGACAACATGATGAAACCCAGTCTCTACAAAAAAATACAAAAATTAGCTGGGCATGGTGCCACACACCTGTAATCTCAGCTTGGGGGGCTGAGGCAGGAGAATCTCTTGAGCCCTGGGGTGGAGGCTGCAGTGAACCATGTTCATGCCACTGCACTCCAGTCTGGGTGACAAAGTGAGACCCCCATCTCAAAAAAAAAAAAAAAAGGAAAAAAAAGAAATTATGGATGTTTGGAGTCAAAAGAGAGTCTCCCGCCTGGGTGCTCTCTTGCTAAAATGTCCTTCTCTTGCCAGAAAGAAGGGCATTTAAAAAGCAAGGCAAGGGATTAGGGAGTTACTGTTAACGGGTACCAAATTTCAGTTTAGGTAGGTGAAAAACATTCTGGAAATGAATGTGCTGATGATTGCACAATTAATGTACTTAATACCACTGAACTGTATGCTTAAAAGTTGTTAAAATGGTCAAATTTATGTATATTTCACCACAATTTAAAATAACAAAGCCAAGTGATAGAAGTAGAGGTAATGGTTATTAAATTTTTTAGTTTATTTTTAAATTGTTTTTACAGATTTTGGGGATTTTAAAGATGTGTTCCTTGAGTTGGATTTTTTTCCCTGTCTTCTCAATTTAATTTCCTTTCTTTGGCCAGGAAGAGTATTAAAAACATTATATTTTTTTTCTTTGGTCTTCTAGCCATCTCTATGGTCACTTTATTTGCAGTCTTTATTTTCTAAGTTTTCATTCTTATCTCTTACAGTGTTTCACTCTTCTCCACCTAATCTTTTCATTTTAATCTGACAAAATCAAGTCTAGCACTTTGAACTTAAATTCATCTTCTAAATAAGTATCTCATTCTAAAATATTCCATGGCCTAGCTCTCTCACTTCTATTTTTAGTGTTCCACCTGCCACTGTCTTTAAAATTTAATTCAAACAATATTGATTTTAAAATGTTTGTTTTTCATTTGCTCTTTTGTCTTTTTCATGCTAAATTTGCTGGAACTTCTTTGAAAAGGAGAAAACTGAAATTCAAATACAGCCATCTAATTACTTAATTTGTGAGAGTAAGACTCACTGCAGAGTTCTATCCCAGAATGTGGTATCATAAGGCCACCCATGTAGTTTATTAGATCCTACCTTCAATGATTTTTTTTTTTTTAATTTTCTTTTAGAGACAGGGTCTCTCTTGCTCTATTGCCGATGCTGAAATGCAGTGGTATGATTGTAGCTCCCAGCATCCTCAAAGGTTCAAGTGATCATCCCATCTCAGCCTCCTAAGTAGCTGATACTACAGGCTCACACCACCATGCCCAGCTAATTTATTGTTATTATTATTTATTTTGTTTTGAGATGGAGTCTCATACTGTCACCCAGGCTGGAGTGCCATGGCACCATCTTGGGTCACTGCAACCTCCGCCTCCTGGGTTCAAGTGATTCTCATGCCTCAGCCTCTCCAATAGCTGGGATTATAGGCACATGCCACCACACCTGGCTCATTTTTGTATTTTTAGTAAAGATGGGGTTTCACCATGTTGCCCAGGCTGGCCTTAAACTCCTGACCTCAGGTGATCCACCCACCTTGGCCTCCCAAAGTGCTGCGATTACAGGCATGAGCCACTGTGCCCCACCTTATTATTTTTTGTAGAGATGGAGTCTCACTCCGTTGCCCAGGCTGGTCTCAAACTCCTGGGCTCAAGCAATCTTCCTGCCTCAGCTTCCCAAAGCACTGGGATTACAGATATAAGCCATTGCACCTGGCCCAATAACTATTTTTGTTATGGTTGAGCTTTCTATCAGTAACATTCCTCAGAAATTGATAACAAAGAGAAGCTAATTTTTAGATGCTTTAGTTAAGGCAATATATTAGTTGAGTTCTTTACAATTAAAATGCCATTGAAATTCCTTTGGGATATTTGGCAAAACAAATTCGCTTTAGAGAAAAGTACATGTTGAAAAATTTTGTACATACGTATATTTTCTGGAGAGTGAGTTTATAGTTTTTTTTTCCAGACTTCCAAAGATGTGGCTTACCCAGAAAATGTTAAGAACCGCTGTTTATAGCATTAAATGAACTAGTTTTGCAACTGGTTAGCATACTGAGCATACAGTAAAAACTCAACAAATGTTAATATTGAGTACTACTGTGTGCAAGGGAAGAGTGGAAGGGAAATATGTCAAATAATTAGGCAGAGGCTGAATCATGTAAGATTTTATGGAGCATGGTAGATATACACTGACAGATTTAGCTGGAGGAACTTTAAGCTGGAGAGTGACATGAACTGATTGACATTTTAAAAAATCAATTCTGGCCACTTTATGGAGAATAGATTTAGGGGTGTGAAGGGGAAAGGATAAGAATGGGAACAGAGAGATCTGTCGAGAGGCTGTTGAAGTAGTCCAGGAAAGAAGTGATGGTTCCCTGGATTATTTGATTTCAGGGTGTATTTTGAAGGTAGAAACAACTGGATTTACTGGTGGATTGGTTATGGAAGGGTGAAGGAAAAGAAAGTATGAAGGATGATATCTGGGTTTTTTATTTGAGAATTGGGGTTTATGGTGGTGCTATTTCTTGAGAGGGGAGAAGATTGGATTGGGGGAATATGGTTTTGAAGATAATTAGGTTTAAGTGGGGTTTTTTGTTTGTTTGCGGTTTTTTGTTTTTTTGTTTTTTGTTTTTTTTTGACAGAGTCTCGCTCTGTCATCCAGACAAGTGTACAGTGGCACGATCTTGGCTCACTGCAACATCTGCCTCTCAGGTTCAAGTGATTCTTCTGCCTCAGCCTCCCAAGTAGCTGGGATTACAGATGTCCGCCACCATACTTGCCTAATTTTTGTATTTTTAGCAGAGACGGGTTTTCACCATGTTGTCCAGGCTGGTCTCCAACTCCTGACCTCAGGTGGTCTACCCCCCTCGGCCTCCCAAAGTGCTAGGATTACAGGCATGAGCCACTGCACCGGGCCGTTTTTTGTTTTGTTTTTGAGACAAAGTATGGCTCTATCACCCAGGCTGGAGTGCAGCTACATGACCTTAGCTCACTGCAGCCCCCGCATCTGGACTGAAGCCATCCTCCTCCCTCAGCCTCCCAAGTAGCTGAGACTACAGGCTAATTTTTAAATTTTTTGTAGAGATCGGTTTTCACCATGTTGGCCAGGCTGGTCTCAAACTCGTGAGCTCAAGCAATCCACCCAGCTTGGCCTCCCAAAGCGCCCAGATTACAGGCATGTACCACTGTGTCTGGCCTTAAGTGTTTTTTTGTTGTTTTTTTTTTTCTTTTTTTCGGAGACGGAATCTCGCTCTGTTGCCCAAGGTGGAGTGCAGTGGCTCAATCTTGGCTCACTGCAACTTCTGCTCCTGGGTTCAAGTGATTGTCCTGCCTCAGCCTCCCTGGTAGTGGGGATTACAGGTGCCTGCCACCATGCCTGGCTAATATTTTGTATTTTTTAGTAGAGACGGTTTCACCATGTTGCGCAGGCTGGTCTTGAACTTCTGACCTCATGATCCACCTGCCTCAGCCTCCCAAAGTGCTGGGATTACAAGCGTGATCCACACACCCGGCCAGTTTTTTATATTTGTAAATAGAGAAGGAGTAACCATTTGGACATAAACCTTTGTAGTTCTTTAGAAAGATTGGGACTAGAAATATAAATATGGAACCACAGACATGCAGATGAAGGTAAAATCCTCATGTTGAAATAGGAGAGTTCCCTGACCCTAGGACATGTGGCAGGGGTGTGGCTTGCCTGTGTGCACTCAAACCTCTTGTGGGAGTGGGAACATGCAGACGGGCAGGTGTAGGAGTCAGGGCAAATGCTTTTAGGCTTCAGCCCCACAGTAGCATCTAGGAGTAGGTGCCTGTGACTCCCAAAGCCCAAGTGGGCATTTTTTTTTTTTGAGATGGAGTCTCACTCTGTTGCCCAGGCTGGAGTGCAGTGATGTGGTCTCGGCTTACTGCAAGCTCTGCCTCCCAAGTTCAAGTGATTCTCCTACCTGTCTCCCCAGTAGCTAGGACTACAGGCATGTGCCGCCATGCCTGACTAATTTTTGTAGTTTTGGTAGAGACAGGGTTTCATCATGTTGGCCAGGCTGGTCTTGAACTCCTGACCTCAAGTGATCCGCCTGCCTTGGCCTCCCAAAGTGCTGGGATTACAGGCATGAGCCACCACGCCTGGCCAGTGCACTCTTAGCTTTGCTGTCTGCAGATGCTTAAGTGTTAAGCGGCTCAGTGCTGTCTTGGTACGCAGGTCCTTGTCTGTGTCCAGGAACAATCAGGTCGCACACAGACTTGAAGGATGGTGAATGCGGGGGTGTTATTGAGTGGTGGAGGTGGCTCTCAGTGGGATGGATGAGGAGCTGGAAAGGGGATGGAGTGGGAAGATGATCTTCCCTTGGAGTTTGGCCATTCAGCCTCCAATCCTCTCTTACCGTCCCCAGTCAAACTCCTCTGGGCATTCACATGCTCCTCTTCTTTCTGATGTGCTGTTCTGCAGTTCTTCTGCCCTTCTGTTCTTCTCCTTGTAGAGCCTGAGGTTTGGGGTTTATATGGGTATAGAATTGTGGGGCATGGTGGGCCGAAAGGCAACTTTTGAGCATGAAAACAGGAATGCCTATTCCCATTTTGGGCCACAGGTTTCTAGCTTGAGGGTGAGGCCTTTGCTGGGGAACCACCATCTTCTGCCCGGTATTTCCCTGTCTCCCTTTTGTATCAGTTTATGGGACTAAGTGAGTTAGAGAGTAGGATGGGGCCTTAGAGGAAAAAGAAAAGGAAAAAGGAAAGTCAATGAAGTAGGAGAGAAACCAGCATAGTTTTATAGAGCTGGAAGTAGTGTTTCAAGGAAAATGGTATGTGTTTGCTTCAAAGAGGTCATGTAAGACAAAACAGGCTGGGTATGGTGGCTCATGGCTGTAATGCCAGCACTTTGGGAGGCCTAGGTGGGTGGATCACCTGAGGTCAGGAGTTCGAGACAGCCTGGCCAACATGGCAAAATCCTGGCTTTACTAAAAATATGAAAATTAGCCTGGCATGGTGGCACACGCCTGTAATCCCAGCTACTCAGGAGGCTGAGGCAGGAGAGAATTGCTTGATCCTGGGAGGCGGAGGTTGCAGTAAGCCGAGATTGCACCATTACACTCTAGACTGGGAGAGAAGAGCAAAACTCCATTTAAAAAAAAAAAGAGAGAGAGAAAAAAAAGACAGAACAGAGAAGTGACCACTGTTTTGGCAACATAGGTCGTAGATGCCTTGACAACAGCAGTTTATATGTATGTAGGGACAGAAGCCTGATTGTTGTACATTAAGGAGAGAGAGTGATGTGAGGAAGTAGAGACAGCAGAAAAGACATTGCAAGAACTTTTGCAGTGAAGAGGGTATGGAAGAGGTCATGGATCAAGAGAGAGGGATTTTGGTTTTCTTTTCCTTTCTTTATTTTTTTTTTGAGACCAAGTCTTGCCCTTTAGCCAGGCTGGAGTGCAGTGGCATGATCTCGTCTCACTGCAACCTCTGACTCCCTGGTTCAAGCCTCCCCAGTAGCTGGGATTATAGGCACGTACCACCATGCCCAGCTAATTTTTGTATTTTTAGTAGAGATGGGATTTCACCATGTTGGCCAGGATGGTCTCAATCTCCTGACCTCGTGATTCACCCGCCTTGGCCTCCCAAAGTGCTGGGATTACAGGCGTGAGCCACCATGCCCGACCATTTTTTTTTTTTTTTTTTTTTTTTTTTTGAAGCAGTGTTTCACTTTGTCATCCAGGCTGGAGTACAGTGGGACATGGGACAAACACGGCTCACTTTAACTTCAGCCTGCCAGGCTCAAGTGATTCTCCGACCTCAGCCTCCTGAGTAGCTGGGACTACAGAAGCATGCCACCACGCCCAGCAGGGTTTCACTGTGTTGCCCAGGCTGGTCTTTTTTTTTTTCTTTCTTCCCAGATGTAGTCTTGCTCTGTCACCCAGGCTGGAGTGCAGTGGCGCAGTCTCGGCTCACTGCAACCTCTGTCGCCTGGGGTTCAAGTGATTCTCCTGCGTCAGCCTCCTGAGTAGCTGGGATGGACTAAAGGCTCCTGCCACCACACCCAGCTGATTTTCCAGGCTGGCCTTGAACTCCTGAGCTCAAGCCTCAGCCTCCCAAAGTGCTCGGATTATAGGCATGAGCCACCCCACCTGCCCTGAGGTTTTTGTTTTGTTTTGTTTTGTTTTGTTTGGGACGGAGTTTCGCTCTTGTTACCCAGGCTGGAGTGCAATGGCGCGATCTTGGCTCACCACAATCTCCGCCTCCTGGGTTCAGGCAATTCTCCTGCCTCAGCCTCCTGAGTAGCTGGGATTACAGGCACGCGCCACCATGCCCAGCTAATTTTTTGTATTTTTAGTAGAGACGGGGTTTCACCGTGTTGACCAGGATGGTCTCGATCTCTTGACCTCGTGATCCACCCGCCTCGGCCTCCCAAAGTGCTGGGATTACAGGCTTGAGCCACCGCGCCCGGCTGTTTTGTTTTTTTGAGATGGAGTCTCACTCTGTCTCCCAGGCTGGAGTGCAGTGGCATGATCTCAGCTCACTGCAACCTCCATCTCCAGGGTTTAAGTGATTCTTCTGCCTCAGCCTTCCGAGTAGCTGAGACCACAGACACGTGCCACCACACCCAGCTAATTTTCGTATTTTTAGTAGAGACTGAGTTTCACTATATTGGCTAAGCTGGTCACAAACTCCTGACTTCGTGATCTGCCCACCTCGGCCTCCCAAAGTGCTGGGATTACAGGCATGAGCCCCCGCACCTGGCCCTGTTTTTTTTTTTTTAAGCACAGAAATTGTGCAACAGGCTTGCTACTGAGCATAAGCCTAGAGAAGGTAGAAACTGATGGTGCATGAGAAAGATGATATTCAGATGATGTCCTTGACAAAGCAAGAACAGATGGCATCTAGAGTGCTAACAGAAGAGTCTGTTTTATGGAAGCAGGAACACTTAATTCTTTGTAACTGGAGGAAAGCACAGGAGTATGAGTGAAGATGCAGGTGGGTTCATTGATACTCATTTTTCTTTTTCTTTTTTTTTTTTTTTTTTTTTTTTGAGATGGAGTTTCGCTTTTGTTACCCAGGCTGGAGTGCAATGGCGCGATCTCAGCTCACCGCAACCTCCGCCTCCTGGGTTCAGGCAATTCTCCTGCCTCAGCCTCCTGAGTAGCTGGGATTACAGGCACGTGCCACCATGCCCAGCTAATTTTTTGTATTTTTAGTAGAGATGGGGTTTCACCATGTTGACCAGGATGGTCTCGATCTCTTGACCTCGTGATCCACCCGCCTCGGCCTCCCAAAGTGCTGGGATTACAGACTTGAGCCACCGTGCCCGGCCATTGATACTCATTTTTCTTAACACCCCTGATAAAATTCCTTCCCATTCATAGTTTGAAAGAGTGAAGTTTGGTAAGGGAGAGTGATTTATTTGTATTCTATCACGGACCAGTGGCATCCATAGTTATAGAACTCATATCTCTAGACTTCCAGGTGAGTGTTCCAGTTTATGTTCTTTGAGATTGAAGTGTCATATAAATTAATGTGTTTTCTGTCTTCTTGGTTCATCTGGATGTTTTGTTCTAGGGACAGATTTGGAAGCATCTTTGCTAAGTTTTGAAAAACTTGACCGTGCCTCACCAGATCTTTGGCCAGAACAATGTAAGTTTTTGCTTTCTTTAAATCAGAGTCAATGCAGGAGAAACAGTTCTCCTTGGGAGATTTTTAAAGAGTTATCATTTATTCTGTAAATTTTTATTTATTTTGATTCTAGTCAAATTTAGTAGTGGGGTGTTGTATACCAACCTTAGTGACATTAATGTTAAGTTCTGATAACTGGCTGAGCCTGGTGGCTCATGTCTGTAATCCCAGCACTTTGGGAGGCTGAGTTGGGAGGATCACCTGAGATCAGGAGTTTGAGACCAGCATGGCCAACATGGCAAAACCCTACCTCTACTAAAAAAAAATGCAAATATTGGCTGGGTGTGGTGGCACATGCCTGTAATCCCAGCTACTTGGGAGGCTGAGGTATGAGAATCTTTTGAACCCAGGAGGCGGAGGCTGCCATGAGCAGAGACTGTGCCACTGTACTTCAGGCTGGGTGACAGAGTGAGACTCTGTCTCAAAAAACAAACAAACAAACAAAAAAAACCTAAGTTCTGATAACTCACTACCATTGGATCAGCCTGACGCATTATCATTTAACTTAAATGATTAAAGGTTTATTTTATTTAGAAGAGAAGAGACTGAAGTCCAGTGTTAAGAATAGCTGTTTGGTGGTTTAATATTTTTGGAACACAGTGTGACTCAGAGAATAAGAAGCCTTTAAACAATTAATAATTATTTTGTTTTGAGCCATCATCTTGCTCTGTTGCCCAGGGCTAGAGTGCGGTGGTGTACTCAGCTCACTGCAGCCTCTGCCTCATGGGTTCAAGCGAATCTCCTGTCTCAGCCTCCTAAGTGTCTGGGACTATAGGCACGTGCCACCAGATCCAGCTAATTTTTGGTATTTTTAGTAGAGATGGGGTTTCACCATGTTGGCCAGGCTAGTCTTGATCTCTTGACCTCATGATCCACCCACCTCAGCCTCCCAAAGTGCTGGGATTACAGGCATGAGCCAACTGCTCGGCCTACTTCATACTTTTAAATGTATTCCATTGTATAGATATACTATAGTTTATGTATTCATACATTATTTGGAAACTTAAATCATGTCTAGTTTTTTTTTTTTTTTTTTTTTTAATTAGAGCCAGGATTTCACTGTGTCACTCAGGCTTTATGCAGTAGTTTGATCACAGCTGACTATAGCATCAACTTCCTGGGCTCAAGTGATCCTCTCACTTCAGCCTCCTCAGTAACTAGGACTACAGGCATGCACCACCACAACCAGCTATTTAAAATTTTTTATTTTGTAGAGACAGAGTCTCACTATGTTGGCCAGACTAGTCTCCTCCAGACTCCTGGGCTCAGGTTGTCTTTCTACCTTGGCCTCCCAGAGTGCTGGGATTACAGGTGTGAGCCACTGTGCCTGGGCTATTATCTAGTTTTTGATTTTACAGTTTATCAGTGAATACTCCTGTACACATATCTTTGTATACATGGAAGAGGATACCTGTATGAAGGCCCTTTTCCTCACATACTAGCCAGTGTTAGATATTACTAATCTATTACTTTTATTTTGCATTTCCTTTTTGGTGAGATTGAACATTATCTTTTTTTTATTTTTGAGACACAGTCTTGCTCTGTCACCCAGACTGGAGTGCAGTGGCTCAATCTCAGCTCACTGCAGCCTCTGCCTCTTGGGTTCAAGCAATTCTCTTGCCTTAGCCTCCCGAGTAGCTGGGACTACAGGCGAACACCGCTATGCCTGGCTAATTTTTTGTATTTTAATAGAGATGGGGTTTCACTGTGTTGCGCTTGCTGGTCTCAAACTGAGCTCAGGGAGTCCGCCCAACTCGGCCTCCTAAAGTGCTGGGATTATAGGCATGAGCCACTGCACCTGGCCCACGGTATTTTATTTAAAAATTTTTTATTTTAATTATTTATTTTTTTAGAAACAGTCTCATTCTATCACCCATGCTAAAGTGCAATGGCATGATGATAGCTTACTACAGCCTCTAACTCCTGAGTTCAAGCCATCCTCCTGCCTTAGCCTCCTGAGTAGCTAGGACTATAGGTATATATTACCATGCCCAACTAATTTTTTTTTTTTTTTTTTTGCACCAGCACACTGCTTTGTTGCCCAGGTTGGAGTGCAGAGGTGTGATCATGGCTCACTGCAGCCTTAACTTCTTGGGCTGAAGCCTCCCGAGTAGCTAGGACTGCAGGTGCACATCACTATGCCTGGCTAAGTTTTGTATCTTTTGTAGAGACAGTGTTTCACTGTATTGCCCAGGCTGGTCTCCAACTCCTGAGCTCAAGTGATTGACCCGCTTCAGCCTCCCAAAGTGCTGGGATTACAGACATGAGCCACCGCACCTGGCCTAGTTTTTTTATTTTTTGTAGAGACTGGGGTCTTGCCTTCTTGCCCAGACTGATCTTCAGGTGATCCTTCTGCCTTGGCTTCCCAAAATGCCCAGCCCTGATGTTTATTTTTCTGCCTTTTAATGTGACTCTTTGGGTGAAAAATTTAAATAAATAAAATTGGATTGACAGAACAGCACCTCTAAAGAGGTAGTTTATACTTTCTGGTAAGAGATACAGTATCTTAGCACCCTCTCAACCAGCTAACTCCCGGTTCTTCAAAGTTCAGTTGAGGTATTATTTTCTCTGAAAAGCTTTTTATGCCCCTGGGTCTGACTTAGCTTTCCATTTTTTGTCTTTCCATAGCCCTGGCATCTTTCTTTGAGTGCTGAAATAGTATTATAGTTATTGGTTTATTCTCTCTCTTCTTAACTGTAAGAAAACAGACACAGCTGTTTTCTTATTATTTGAATCCTCTATGCCTGAGCAGTCACACTTATTGAATAAATAATGTGTTGTTTTTCTTTTTAGTACCAGGTGTTGCTGAATTTGCGGCTTCCTTCAAAAGTGTAAGTAATATCCCTTATTTACTGAGGCCTATCCAAAGTTTCGCTCCTGGGTAAAAGCGTAGCTTTCTCTTCTTTATTTTATTTTTCTATATATGACAGAGTCTCACTCATCACCTAGCTTGGAGTGCAGTGGTTCGATCTCGGCTCACTGTAACTTCCACTTAACCAGGTTCAAGCAATTATCCTGTCTCAGCCTCCTAAGTAGCTGGGATTACAGGCACCCACCACTATGCCCAGCTAATTTTTGCATTTTTAGTAGAGACAGAGTTCACCATGTTTGCCAGGCTGGTCTTGAACACCTGACCTCAAGTGATCTGCCCACCTTGGCCTCCCAAAGTGCTGGATTACAGGTATGAGCCACCGTACCCAGCCTTTTAAAATTTTTTGTGGAGATGAGTTCTCACTATGTTTCCCAGGCTTGTCTTGAACTTCTGGGTTTAAGCCATCCTCCTGCTTCAGGTGTTAGGCTAACCTAACCTCTCATGGTGTTAGGATTACAGCGGTGAGCCAACATAACTGGCTTTTTTTAAATGTGAAAAATGGGGAGAATAATAACTACTTTATAGAGTTGATTGGAGGTAAATGACATGATGCATGTAAAGTGTTTTGCTTGTCACATAATTAGTACATTTTAATTAAAAAAAAAGAGAAGGACACAAAGCTAAAATAATGTTTCTCAACCCTACCTTTTGTGTATGACAGAATCATTGAAATGCAGCTATGGAGCTCTCGAAAAATGCATTGTAATAAATGAGCACCAAGGGAAAAAAATTAATTAATTAAAAAAAAGAAAAACACATGTGAGGAGTCCCTTGCTCTACTTTTTCCACTGGACCCTTCCCTACCCCTCATATTCTAAATCATTGTCTGGGGTGTGGCCAATGCATTTATATATTATATATTATATGTAATATATATTATATATAATATATATAAATGCATTTGTGTATAAATAATACATACATATATATGTATTATTTATACATATATATATATTTATACATATATATATATATATTTATATATATATAAAAATGCATTCCAGCCTGGGTACGGGGCAACACTCTGCCTCAGAAAAAAAAAAAAA